CTGTGTCGGTTTGTGTCTCCTAAAAGGAAAGCAGCCTATGTCTTTGACTATGAAGCTGGAAACACAATAGACACAGGCAATAGGCACAGGAAACAGGGAATAACGAGCCGCCCAATCAGAGCTTTGGGGTATGAGTTCGATATTATATCCCAGAGCTCTGATTGGACGGCTCGTTATTCCCTGTTGCTTGTGCCTATTGCCTGTGTCTATTGTGTTTCCAGCTTTAGGGTGCCGTCACATGCAGCATAACTTGCGTAAGCGTAACTTGTATCGACCAATCATATCGTTTCACTTGACATTAGTTTCTATTTAATCACTTTATGCATTTTATGCTATTTTGTTGTTACGCCAAACCACCATGTGTCGAATCTAACTTCTTGCTTGTTTTAGCTTATTCTGTCTGAAAAAATACACATGGGTTTCGATTTTGCAACAGTACAATTATAAAAGTCGTGCGCCCCTTTGCATCACGCGAAAAGTCGAAACCAGTCGAAACCCATGTGGGACAGTACAATTATAGACCTCATTTTGCCTCTGTGACAGATTTTCTAACTTCAAAAGTCATCAACTTTAACGCTTAATATCTCAAATCACAAGGCAGAACGACGCTTTTCTTGCCAGATTCTTTCATTTCATACAAAAATGCGTCAGATAAGCCTAAAGCGGGGAACACAGACTCTTGCATAACGCATAACACGTAATGCATAAGAATATATACCAATCGAAGTTCTCCGTTTCTTTCCCTTCCATGTAATAGAGAACTCTGGTTGGTTCAATTTCTTATGCCTCATGTGTAATGCGTTATGTAAGAGTCTGTGCTCCTCGCTTAAGAGTGGTTTCACAAAACTTTCCGATTTTAATAATTTATTCGATCATCCGCTCATATGTACGCGATGGAAAGATGCCGTTTCCCCATGAGGCGTACTTTTCGAGATAGGTTACAAAAACCAATCATAAATTCATTTAGCATTTCTGTTAGAGTGTACAACAGAAATTCTAATCAGCAATTGGTTGCATTAGCCCGGATCCTCTTACGAACAACAGCGCTTTGACACCGAACGCTGATTGGTGAAAAACGGCTGATGGGTGTAAATTTTACCCCCACAACTGACTTTTCACCAATCAGTGCTCTGTGTCAAAGCGCCAGTGTCTGTATGAGAATCCGGGCTTATTTTCGCATTTTTCTAATAGCGTTTTCGATTGGGGTGCACTGGCTGCACTCAGTGTCAAGAGCGTATTCGATTGGCAGTGCCAATGCGCACTTGGCTAGTGTCACGTGTTCATTTGATCGCACGACACTCGCGTAGTGCGCATTCAGTGCGCACTAAGTGGCACGAGATATTTTGACGGTGCCAGTTCAGTGCACGTTTTATCACAGTTAAGGATATACATAGGGACAAGCAAATTTGCGCAGTTGAATTGAAAACGGGGTCTTGTCCCTACTCTTATATCTTTTACTGTGGTTTTGTAACATTTTGTTGAACATTGCTTCAAAGTGAACAAAAATGAGTTTCAGTTTTAGCACTGAAAATCTTGGCGTATTCTTTTGAACTTGCACTATTCAGTGCAACCCATGGAACTCGTCCAATGTTGGTGTGAACTGAGTGCGCACTGGTGCGCACTAACTTTTGCCCAATCGAAAACGCTATAAATTCCGCGAAATACGCTCTATGTGAATGCCAGCTGCAGAATGGCGTAACATATATTCTATCTAGTAAATTACTAGAATACGCAGGTTATACGCTTACGCAGGTTACGCTGCATGTGACGACACCCTGAATCGTCGATTAAAATTAATCAAAATTGATTGAAGTAAAATCAGGTAAAACTATCGTTTTCAAACTATCGATATTCCTAAAGCTATCAATAGTTTTTATAGTAAAAACTATCGATAGACTATCGATATTTAGTCAGCATTAATTAGCAGTCATACAATTGATCGATGCGCGTTACAGTTTGCCACGCCTGCATTTTTCTATCTGTTATGTAAAAATTATTCTGTTAAGTATCTATTTGATATTTCACCTGATAAATTTGAACTTGAATTTCAGTTGTCACCGAAAATGGGTAACAGATCAAGTCTTCTTCTACGCGAGGATGAAATAGCGCAGATACAAAATGCTACTGGTTGCAAGTATCCGTTTGTCTATTCATTTCATACGAATTAATTTATTTAAATAATTTTTGATAAGACAAATATTAGTGTGTGATATTAATGCTGACACTCTCTATTACAGTTACACCAAATCAAATCGAACGTTTGTACAGCCGCTTTACAAGTCTGGATCGCGGAGATTGTGGAACACTCAGTCGAGAAGATTTTCTCAGAATCCCAGAATTGGCGATAAATCCTCTTGGTGAAAGGATAGTAAACGCTTTCTTTGAAGAAAGTGGGAACGACAGGGTGAATTTCCTACAGTTTATGCAAGTCCTGGCTCATTTTAGGCCTATCAAAAAGAACAGTCCCAATCGATTGAATTCTAGACAGCAAAAGTTGAAATGTAAATATAAAAGTGCTGAATATAAAATGATAGATAATGTCTTATAATCTAGATGCTTATTAAGGATTTATTATTAAATATTTCTTTTAGTTGCATTTAAAATGTATGATTTGGATAACGACGATCTGATATCAAAAGATGAACTACTCGCTATTTTACATATGATGGTTGGTGCAAATATTAGGTAAAAATTAAAATTTTTTTTATAATTATCAATGCATCAATAATTCTATGATATTCTATACATATATTTCTATAACCGAACAAAACATTTAATACAAATTTGGCAATTTAATAAACATATTTATTTCAGTGAAGAACAGCTAACCAGTATTGCGGAACGGACCATAGTTGAGGCTGATGAAAACGGTGACGGTATGATATCATTTGAAGAATTTTGTAAGGCATTAGAGCGTACTGATGTTGAGCAGAAAATGTCAATAAGATTTCTCAGTTAAATTAATTATGGATTTATATAGAAAATTGTAATATAGAATTTTATAGTAGATATTAGGGAAAAAATTTGTCATAAATTTTTATAATTGTGCAATATACGAACAACTTTAACTAATCTTAGAATCAGTAAACAAGAAAAGGTACTTACGATTGAAAGATTTGTATAAAATGTATTATTATATATGTATCTTGGATTTTATAAGAATTATGGGAATTAAAAAAGAATGGTAAACATGTATGTGTGAATTAGAATCTGTATAAATATATAAATATATATATATATATATA